GTGGAACTGCAGACAAAAAAATAGCAAAAATTGAATTGTTAATGCATGTCACCATGAGAAAAGCCTACTGAGACTTACTGCCTACCAAAATTTGTGTCTTAGTGTATTTTGTAAGTACCTATATACATTTTCTTCAATCTTTCCTTTTCTTTTTTTCATCTCAGTTTCTATTCTTTTTCTTCATTGTCTCATCTTCTCTGTGTTGAGTGGAGGCTGATGTCTCTTATTTATTTCAGGCTCTTTTTTCCCCCAAACTGAATCTAAGACTATTATCCAAAATCTTCTTTTCCTTCATGGTGATTTAACTGTTTAAAAACAAACTTACAACTTTTAAGCATGTTTGCTATTTTGTTCTCTTCTGTTCACAGCAGCAGTTTTCTGTTGGTCATGTCTCGAAAAATGTCAATGACCTCACTGTGAATGATTGGCACATCTTTCTCAATTGCCAACAAAAGAAGGTCTGACAACCTATCCTCCTTGCATAAGCTATGTAGTTTTGTTTTCACTAGCTTCAGTTTTGAGAAGGAACGCTCAACGGTTGCTGTAGACACTGGTAAGGTGGCATATGTTTTCAGTAGTCCAGTCATGTTGGGAAAAACCAGATCAGCATATTTTTCTTTGATGACAGACAGCATTGATGACACACTGAAAGATGAAAACTCCAAATATGATCTGTGAAAAACCTTCAGCTCCGTCTTCAATTTTTCTCGGTCATCAATTTCATAAAACTGGCAGAGCATCTTTAGTAGAGCTTGAAGTGCTTTTGGAGGAACTGTTGCATTGGTCCAGTTTTCTGGGACAGTAAGGCAGTGGAGGGCATTTAATATTTCCCAGGTAGCATTATCTCCTCCCTTGAACCATTTCTGAAGCTCTTGTGTAATGGAGTCTACAAAAACATAATATACCTGTGCACGGTAGGACTCCTTCGAGGTAGGGAAAACATGGTTATCAGAAGCACCTGTACTAACCGCAGTAAACTTTGCTGGCACTTTCCTCTTCCTTCTGAGTCCACTGACTTCTTCAGGGGGGTCAAGCCCCACAGATGCAGCCTTTTCTGTGGCTTTTTTATACATTTTGCCAAATTCTTCTTCTGATCTGCAACACTCCAGTATCTGTAGTACCCCTTCAACAATTTTGTAGGCTGCAGCCAGGTCCATATCTTTCTGCTGTAATGCATCTGATGCAACTGCAGTTACTTGGAAAATGGGGCAAGTAATTTCCAGACATAAGAATTCAAAATTGATATTCTTCAAAAGGATTGCTGCGTCACCTGCTGATGGATCAGGGAGGCTTTCCTGAGTCATATTCTCCAAGAACTTCATAACAGCGGGAAGGATCTTTTTGAGAGACTTCAGGGCTCTTTCTCAGCAGGCCCAACGAGTGTCAGACAACTTTTGTAGTTCAACTGGACGCTGATGTGGTTGCATTTCTTTCTGAACCTCTATAAATGCAGTATGCCTTTTTGATGAGTTCCCAATGAAAGCGTAAAGTTTTTCAACCAAGTTGAAAAATGTGACAAAACATATATTTGATTTGGCACTTTCAACTAACACCAAATTAAGACAGTGTGCCTGACAGTGGACATACAAAGCCTTGGGATTGTGCCTGAGATTTCTTGCCTGAAGTCCCTTGTAGTGTCCTCTCATGTTAGCTGCTCCATCGTATCCCTGACCTCTGATGTTATCCATTTTTAGATTGTTTTCCTTCAGTACGTCCAGAACCAGATTTTCAAGGTCTTCTCCACTTGTGGATTGAATGTTGCACACCTGAATAAATCACTCCTTAATCTGCATGTTGTGCACGTATCTGACCACAAATGACACTTGTTCCATGTGTGAAACATCTGTGGTTTCGTCAATAAGAATGGAATACAGCTCATTTTCTTCTATTTCAGTTTTGATTGCACGTCTTACTGCTATACCTAATGCTTTTATTATGTCATTTTGTGTTCCGTTTGATAGTAGTGAGACCAGTGGTATTTTGTTACTTTCCAGTGTTTCTTTCAAACCATCCAGGTGCAATTTAATGACACTATCATACTTGCCGAATAACTCCACAAGCTCTAAAAAGTTGCCTCGATTTAGGCTTCCTGAAGTCTCATCATCTCCTCTAAATGACATGCCCTGTCTTGCCAAATAAATTGTAATGGAAATCAACCGAGATAAAATTTCTCTGTTCCTCTGCTTTTCTTTGTCTTTTGCAGCTTGTGATTGAAGGTTACCTGTTTCCAAAAATGCCTCCAGTGATTTTTTCTGAAAGGTGTTCCACTTTACCATGGCATACATATGGGACTCTGATGCACTGTGCTCTTTAATTTTCTGTAATGCTTTGTTCCATCTGTTTAATCCTATTGTCTTCCATGATTTGCGGAACATGTACTTTTCTTCATTCAAAAAAACACGACAGCTAAAACAAAACATGGAATTTAAACTGGGAGAATACTCCAGCCATGGGTTACTCTTATACCATTTATTCTGAAAAGACCTCCCTTCTTTATTTTTAGGAAATGACAGCTCTGGTTGGCATGGTCCTTGTTTTACACAATTTTGGATAAATGCTTCATCATATTTTATGTTGAACTTCAAGACATGTGCTGGGTCATTTGGGTGTGGAAGGTCCAGTAAGAATGTGAATGGCCTCTCTCTGACTTGTTGCTCCGCGTTTTCGTCCATAGTGTTTATTTCTGACTGTTGTCCCTCTCCTTGCCTGTCTTCCTGTGTTGTTGACTGCATTTTTGTCTCCTCCTCTGATCTATCACTTTCTTTCTGTCCATCTGAGAGCAAGAAACAAACTAATCATTATTCTACACCTAGATTTAGTACATCTTAGCATAAGAAAAACACAACCGATTCCCTGTAATATTAAATATATTGTTCACTACCAAAAACTACATGTTGATAATGGTAAGAACATTTTTTTTTGTTCTTACCTGCGGTACTCGTTCTGACACAGTTGGTCAACAGTCCACTACCTTTTGCTGCTTCTATCAATTCCTTTCTTTTTTGTTTCTGCAGTCTTTCTTTACGTGGCATCTTTGAACAGAAAAAAGCAAAACATAATGAATTATGATAAGAACACTGTATTAAACCACACTACCAATTCTTTACCCTTGTATTTAAACCAATGTTTTTCAGTCCAAAGCACAATATTAATTTCAGAGAAAAGGAGGCCTCTGCTATGGAGTTCAATATGTTTCACAATTCTCCATTAAAATAAAAACTAACCTCAATTAAATAAAATACAATTGTGATCAACACATTTTGAATTGAAACAATTTTTAAACAAAAGTTTTGCTTCATTTTTAAAATTAAAATCAGAGATTTATGTCTCATAAAGTGAGACATAAATCTTTTCTTGCTATTCTAAGTTTTTGTTCGTGATTCAAAGTTTTGCTTGCTTCTCACAAGACGTCGTGGGCAGGGCCGAAAATTGCAACAAAAGATTTCTGATGTGTGCAAATAAAAGTTTTAAGTTTTACAAATAACTTTTTAAGTTCACAAGACAAAAATTTGTTATTTCATTAAAAAAATTTAAATAATTTTTTTTGTTTAAAAAAATCGTTATAATTCAAACCGTTTTGAAGGTGCTATTCTCCTTCAAGATACATTTACCTAATGCTAGAATAAATGCAATGTACATTATGCAGCAAAGAAAATTAGATAATCGGACATATATCCATCATGGAGATGACAGGTTTTGGATCGTCGATGTGGCCCTATCAGCAATAATGAAGAATGACCGCTATCATTAGCGATACAGGGAAGAAGCTTTAGTTATCTTGTTTTGCTAGCAAACTCGTTAGCTAACAGCTACCTGATAGGACAACAACAACAGCCTAATGTCTGTATAATAAAATACTGAATCGATAGATAAGAACAGTTTGTCCTTACTTTTCCTTCCTTCCTCCTCCGCGTTGAGCTCCGCAGTAAGCTACCTTGTCTCAATGACTGAGCGGGAGGCAGCTACGTCATGCGTCACGGGCAAAAGGTCATAGGTAACAGGTGACCGGAGAGCTTATTATGTTGTTTTTCTTGAAATAAAACAAAAAAAACTAATAATTTAGTACATGTCAGAAGAGGGCTTGGGAAAAAATAATAGTAATAATAATAATAAAAAATAAAAAAAATAAAAAAATTTGGACCCAAAGGGCACTTGGGGGCAAGGAGCAAAAAGGGCAGGTGCTCAAGCACCCCCAGGCCCCCCACTGTACGTGCCTGTTATTAGGAGTATGTAATTTCTGCTCCTCCTTAGCTCTTCAGATGTAAGATGTATTTCACAATATATACTACATATAGTTCATCTGCAAAGCTTCTTTAGGACTCTTCTGTTAGCTTCAGCATAGCTTCTGCCATAATTAAGAGTAAATGCAGACTTGCATAAATGACTCTTTATTAAATAATTATAAGATCAAGTCCCAGTTTGACAAATAAGTCTGCCATTACATGCAACTGAATAATATTTTAGTAATTGATCAATTATTAGGTAAGACTTTTATGAGCAGTAGTTGTGAAATACTCTGTAAGTTTTCTTCAGTTTCTTAATTAAATAAATTCTTTTGATCAAACCTCTTCGTCTTAGTTTGAGTTCTACCAAACAGCATTAAGACAAAGTCCTTTTTTCCCTTCCATGTGCATTACTACCCAGATCTACTTAAAACATATTTCTCAAATTCTGATATTTGCTTTAATTTACTAAGTACTGAAACGTTTTCTGTTCTTACATACCTGCGGTTTTTAAAAAAAAATTTTCTGCTTGCCATCCTGACACAGCTGGAAATGTAAAAACAGAGGGAGCGGTTTTTGGACAGAGTGTTCCCTGTAGGAAATTGTTATCTGACTGAGATGACGATGCAGTTTGAGGTTAGCTTCAGCTCTGTGGAGTCAGCCGGGTCTTCCTCACGTTTCAGAGTTGGGTTCGTTCTCTGCCTTCTCCCTCCTCCACACAAACGGTTCCCAAACACTTGAGGAACAAAAATTTATAGATTCCACATCTTGTGACTCTCTAACACAGAGGTTCCCAAACTCCCACAGTTTGGGAACCTCTGTGAGACATTCTTAGAGACGGAGTTTCTAAGAATCCTCTTCCCCACCTCACAAACGTCGTTCAACCAGACAGCTATTTGTAAGCCATAGGGGGGGCCCAGGAGAAAAAGTTTGGGAACCACTGCTTCATTCTATAAGACTATAAGAAGTTCATTCTTATAGTCTACTAGAGCTCTGGTCAGATTGTCCAAAATCAAACTTCCAGACCTTTACTTCAATGTCATAGAATAGAAGTGAGTGTTTAGGATGATTTTAAAGTTCTCCAACCTTTCAGCAGATCTGAGGTAAAATATTCCAGACCAGATTCTTTTATGATTAAGGGCATGCAAATCTGAATATCATCTGCAAAACAATGAACTGGGATAAACAAATTTCCAGAAATAGAACTCATAAGCAGCATACACAATAAAAACTAAGCAAGTCCCAGAACAGAGCTTTGAGGAACTCCACATTAGACGAGCTGTATCAGTCACAACCTTCAATGAATTTGAGATTTAATTGACGAACCAACACAAAGTGGTGCATAAAGGTAAAAGGATGCCATGAAACACACAATCATGTTCTGAGTTGGGTTTTTTTGTATTCACACAAGTTTATTTTTATTTTCCAACCTCGTGGATTGCAGCAATGTTGTGTTATCGGAGGAAATATGGTAGCTTATCAAATTTCTCAGCCTCTCGGTAAAGCGCCGAGGCGACAGACCGTGTGGTGAGAACTTTTCAGCAGAAAAGTTCTCACCACACGGTCTGCACCACATGAAACTGATTCAGAGATTGGTTGGTTTGCCAGCAGTCACAGCAGCAGATATGGGCTGTGGGGATAGAAGAGATTATTCTGAATTTTGGGAACTGCTGTGGTTTGTGATCATTATATTAATAGTAAAATGTGACCAAACAGCTGATTAATATCATCTTTGAATCCTCAGCACTCAACAGCAAAAATAAATTTATCCTAAAAAAGGTTTGCTTTTTATTTAACATCACAAACCATTGTCATTTGGGACTACTTTTATATCTATTACATAGAATATTACATAATTTAATTTGCAGACATGAGGATATATTCACACCTGTTGAACTTTTTGCTCCGATTCCAGATTAAAGTCTTTGGTTGTGTATCTGCAAATAGGAAAATTAAATTCTTCTCGTTGCATTTCACTCTTTCAAACCTTGCCAAAGATTCCTAGGTCTGGACTTTGACTGGGCCGCTTCAACACATGGGCTTGTTTTTAGCCAAACCTTCGTGTGTTTAGGGTTGTTGAGTAGGCACCACTAAGACATAACATTAAGATAAACCCAATGTTTGTGGTTGTATAGTACAAAAATGAAAGATTCAAGGAGTTTGAACACATTTCTGAGTCACTGTACAGTGCAGCCTCAACTTTTCTCTCTAGGCGGTTTCACAATCAATCAATCAAACATTGCAACACACAACCAAAACATGTCATATTGGCCACATTGGGCGGCATTTCATAAGAGGTAATGACTGTTCTGACTCACTGGGTGGATGAGTGGGTCAGTGACTTGTGACCACAATGGCCTTGTTAATACAAATGTCCCAAAAAATGACCGAATCCCAACCGGTGATCGAATGGAAGAAAGTTTCTGAGTAAAAAGTGAAACTTCTTCAGGAAACAGAAGAATCCAGTTGTCCTGAATGATTGAGAATCTACGTCAACACTGTGTCACAGTGAGGAATACGTTTGATGAAATATAAAGTTAAGTGGAAAGTTTTATATTTTTAGGACCTAAATGACAATAATTTCTATCAGTAACAGAAATAACAAAATCAGGCAAAAGAAAGATGTTTCCAAATCTGTTTATTTAAAAAAAACTGATTAAACTTTAACAAAAACTTCAGGTGTGTGTCTGTGTCTGTTGATTTTTTTGTTAAAACATGTTTGTTTTTCATTCAGTAGAAAATCCAGAAATTTTACAAGTAGGAGCAGAAATACTTCATAATAAAATTACTGAAATTAAAGTAGAAAGTACAACGTAATAAAAATATTCATAAAAGTAAATTTTTCCCGAAAAGTTCCTCAAGTAAATGTATTTGAGTAAATATAACTAGTTACAAACCAACTCTGTCTGTGAGACATTGAAGCTTTAAGATATCTGACAGACTGTAGTATTACACTAACATTTGAGGAGTTAAAGTAGAACTAAAATTAAATGAAGTCATTCATCTTTATTCATTGTAGAGAATCCGTCCGTCATTTCAGTTTAATTTTCCATGTTCACATT